TACAGTCACTTAAAACATTCAAATCCTGGATCACTGATACTATTAATGTGCTACTCAGACATGCTACTAAATAATGGAGGGTTAATGTAGATTTTTAAAGAATCCAATTCACTCCATGTGTTTTCAACAGCCACTAAGAAAGAGCACTTAGCATAGAAGGACTCAATTTCAAATTGACATGACTTATCTGTTCTTCATCCTCTTTCTACCTACAACATGTCAATTTATGAAGAAAATACACTAGTTTGCACAAATTCCTATCTATTTGGTGGGAAAATAGAGTGGGGATTTATTCTTTCCCCAAGCATTTCAGTAATTCTATTTTTTTTGGAGAGTTTATGTTATTTCAGTGGATTATCTAGTTATAACTTCAGAAGACAATGTATTAATGTTTGGGGAAAATGCAATAAGAAGGGATCATTTATTCATCTTCATTGATGATTATTTCTGCAAGGTCTATTTCTTTATCCAATTCTAAAAAAAAGGGAAAGGGTTTTAAATTAGCAATTTCTTTCTGAAGTAAAACACCCCAATAATAAAGTGTAATGATTTTTACAGACTCTGAGTGAATGTATCAGTCATCAAACAATAATATATGCATTCAGAGCACATTTTTAAGAAGTGAGCTACTATGAAAAGAATGAAACAGAATTTTTTTTTTCCATAAAATTACTAAAAGCTGACTTCTAGCTAAAAAACTATCAAGTTTATTGAGAAGATGCTGTGCACTTCTGAGGTACTTTGCATTGGAATAATTCACTTAGTTTTGCAGTGAGATGAAAACACTAAGATATTACCTCAGGAACATAATTTTTTTTAATTTTTGCATTTACACAGGCACTCCTGTGGCAAAGTGGCACATGAAATATGCTGCAGTGCACATAACTCAAAACCAAATAGAGTATACTGAAATTATAAATTATTGAGTGTTACATAATCACAACTGAAACGCTGTGTTTGAGTAACTAAATATAAATCATGTACTTTAAGAAAGTTAGGGACATCCTTTGGAAAAAAGAATCGCCATCAGCATTAGGCAATCAGTGATTATCCCCTGCTGGAACCTGTAATTTCAGATCTGTTCCTGCTGAGGTCGCAATTACTGTTATTTATAGGATGGTGGTTGTATTTATCTTCCTGTCATTAATTCACAGCCTTTGGATGGGACAGTGGAAGACACTCCAACATACATGACCGCTATACTGACTCTCCAGCATAGGTAAAAAGTAATAATTTAATGAATGTGATCACAAATGTGAATTAACTCGTACCCACACTGCATAGTCCTAAAAAGTTAATGGGAGCTTCAAATCCAACAGCTGCTCTTGGTCACAAAAAAAAAAAAAAAAAAAGCAGCTGACAAACACGGAAGAGTGCTGAACCGGTCTAACTGTCTCGTATAATTTCTTCTTACAGTTGTGTTGAAAAATATACCTACCTACAATATTGAATGATTTTTCTCTGATTTCTCCAATATAACTATCTTGTGCAACTGATTTGGGGGGGATTAAAGAAGCTGGTACATGTTATATGCATTTGGAGACACCTGGATGATTTGGTAATTTTTAGAAATTTGGGAAAAGAAAGGAAGAACATTCTGCCAAAGCCCTCAGAAATTTACTCCTCTCTGGATTTCTACAATGCTTGTGTATTAATAATTGACATCCAAATAAGGATTAAAAATTGTAGTACTATACTAACACATCCAATGAGTGTTGAATTTTCTTAAATGAGCTTGAGAAGAGGCAAAATTAAAGCAAAGGTTTAAAATGTTGTAGAAAGTATTAAATTCCACTGCCAATGAGTAAAGTTGAATTAAAAATGAGCCTTAATTGCAGAAATCTTAAAAAAAAAAAAAAGCAAAGCAGCAGTTTATCATTATAAACAGTCATGAGGTACTCAGCCACAGGGGTTGGGTGTCAGGGGAGGAAATGTTTTTTTCTGTGTTGCAAAACTACTTGCTTGAATGCCCCAGGCACTTGAAAGCTTCATAAAGGTGCACTTTGCATTGGGGACCTGACTATTATCTATAGATTATCTGATTTAGCAGAGTTGCATCCCTTGGAAAAGAAAAACCCAAGCAAAGTTAATTTTTGCATTTTAGAAGCGATTGTCTTTTTGGTCTTCAATATTTGCTCACTGGGTCGGGAGGGGGAGGACAGTTACACCCTCCGTAGAGCCTGTGCAAAGGGAATAGTGCAGGCTGTACAGCAACAGCACGCTCCCACCAACCATGAATTTTGGAAGTTTTTGGCAGCTTCTGCTTTTCCTCTCACGCTCGAGAACATTTCAAAGGCAGGATTACAAAGGAAGACATCACATGTTCAGATCAAAACTGTAACTGGGGCTCTGGGAAGAGGAAAGGGGGCAGGTACAGAGGCAGTGCTCGCTGTTTGGGAGGACTCATTACAAAGCACTTACCTTTACACCTCGCTGCGCAGGTAAGGATCGCAGCCGGGCAAATTATTCACCACGTCTCCATTTAGACAATAAGGAGGAGGATTTGTTAACCTGAGACTGCTTTACCGACCTGTGGATCTGACCTAAATACCACAGTTAAGCAACAGGGTTTTGTGAATGTAGGACTGCAGGCAGGAACTAGACGGATACAAACCTGACACTTTAGAGCAAAGACTGCCAACCAAGTGATTTATAAACACGCAGCTGCCGTCTTGTACCTATGAATTATGAATTTCACAATATATTCAAGGTATAAAGTTGTCATATACCAGAAACCTGAGGTCACAGAAAAGACCAAAGTAGTATCACCTCCTTAAAGCAATAATTAATATGACTAAACAGCAGCATTAAACCTCCTACTCTTTTGCCTTTCCCCTAGGAGGATTTGGTACTGCTTTTCTCTTGGCTAGAAACTCCTGTTACGTACTGATCAAGATGATCACCTTGTTCCTCCTACTCAGTGGCATGCCTAGAATGCAGAGAAGAGAGCACTGAAAAAAACCAAAAAGGTGAACAAAACTAAAAGCAACAAAATGCTCAAACACATGCCTTTACATCTATTCCAAATCCTTGCATCAACACTTACTTTCCACTTGTTTAAAACCTCATCTGTCCCAGAAAAGTAGAGAGGAAGGAGAAGAAAACTACCACCATTCAGATACTCCTTTTACTGACCCTATCATCTTTGTTAATAGTCTCTAATGAATAACTCACTCATGGGTAAACATGCCGGCATTATTATTTTGTCTTAGCAGAGTCAGCATGATTCAGAAGAGAGCAGTCATAAGACTGTCACAGTTCCCAAACTGTCAAGAGCTGTGAGAAAACAAAAATTAGTAGCTGATATAGAAGGCTTGAGTCTTACTACCACAAACAACCAGGCAGCCTGTTGGTTGATCTGAAATATATACATAGACACACACACTTTAGACGGAAATATTGCTATCCAGCAATGACTACTCTAGAGCAGACAGGTTTCTGCTGCCTGAGAATGACAGAAAAAAAATCATTCTAATAAGTAAATTTATTCATTATACCAACTTGGCTGAAAAAAACAAAGTTCTTTGACACACAATCCCTCTTCTTAGGGCCTTAAATCACGCTGACTTTAAAAGTGCAAAGATGGACCTAAGAGTGCATTTAGGCATGACAGCTCACACTTCCCTGAGTGGGCTTCCCTTTTGCATCCCAGCCTTTTGAAATGTGTGGTAATAGAGCCATCACAAAGTACACCCCTACACACTGATCACTGCCCTGGCCAAAGGACTGGAACCACTCCTACAGATACCTGCCAAAACCCACTGACACCTCCTGGTTTTTGGAAATCAACCCATGTTTTCTTGACCCTTTGGGATCAAGACAAGCTGGCTCTAGGTATAATTTTACTATCTTGTCAAAAATTTGTGTGATAAAGGTCCCTTCTGTGTGTTTGTGTGAAGGGGTTCTACAGCTCTGGATGGAGGAATGGTTACCAGCAATCAGCAGGCTAAGGAGAGATGGCATGCTGAGAAGCTACATGTGAAAGCCTCCCAGTAACTGGTAAACTCTGGTGACCAGTTGTCTTGTTATATCCACCAGAACTCATAAACTCAGAACATCAAGAGCCTTGCTGGCTGTGTACAAAGCTACTACCTACACTAGTATCATCCATGGGTTGCGTAACTTGCATCGTGTACAAGCAGGTAGAGGTTGCTATATGCAGCCAAAAAACCTACAGATTTACATACACAGACCTGATGAAGCAAAGGCTTCTCTGATAGACTTTCTAAACTACCCACCTAGAAGCCAGAAGTCTCAGGAGTTGGACTGGCCTCCCAGATGTTGCTCCTGCAGAGTAATTATGAGCATGTAAGTGAATGTGTGAATAGTTATCCACTATTATTAACAGCTTTATTAACAAAAAGCTTTCTGTTGGTTGTGATCTGTATCTCTCCCAACTTGATCTGCTGTCATAGAAAAGGGAAATTACAGAATCAAGCATCCAACTATTTTAGCGGTTATTTCTTGGGGATACCAATCCCCAGTAACTAGGACAGCTGCTGCCACTAACATTTCATTCCTCAAATGATTTGCTCAAAAAAGTACTTGCAGAACTCACTCTATGCAAGAACTCAAATGGGACTCCAACTGTTCATGACAGAAACACAGTGAACCAACCCAACCAGTTTTCCTAGTCCATGCAATCTGGACTCTCCATATGAACACCAGCATGTGCTGAGATTAATCATCACAACAGACAAAATAAACCGAAGGTTAACACCTTTAGTTGCTTTTACTTCTGAATGGCATGTTTAGGAAAGGACGTATCTCTAAGGAAAATTCCTGTTGCTGCCACTTGAAGATAAGACTGCAGAGAGTCTGAACCTTTGTTCAAACTTGCTCCATTTTTCCATGATTCCAGGCCAAAAAGCCCCATATCAGCATAAACCTTCCAAGTATTTCCAGCAGACCTGTAGATTTTGTCACATAAAATCTCTCCCACACATATGCATTAGACCTATCAATTGCATCACAGCCACAGAAAGTTGTGCCATGTCATTATGCATTACTAGTCAGTTGGAGAATTACTCCCAGGAATCTTACAGCTGTTAGGAAAGCTTTTAATGATCTCATGTGATGATTTGCAAACTAAGCATTCATGCCTCTAGAAAGACTCTTTAGTAGGAACATGTTGTTGTATGCATTATTACTCTGCTTGAATAATTTCACTTCTACATTTCTGTGATTTGACTGTTTGCTTCTTTTAAGTAGTGGTAAATAACAACTCCATGGAATTAGAAAGTGGCAACTTCTGTCCTTAGCAACTTCTCATCATTTGTCCCACTCTACTAATTCAATAAAGGGATATGAACACAAGTGGAAGTTTCTCTTTAAAAACAGACATATTGATGGTTAGTTACAACATGACACCAGGCTGCTACAGTGGTGCTAATAAAAATCAACTGCGGGGCTGTTTACACTGCTTTGCATAAACTCCTTCAAGTGCCCTGAGCTGAACAGTAGCTTTGTTGCTCTGAAAGTTTCTGCTCAGCTGGTTTACCAAGGTCTTGCCCTTAGCTGAAAGCTACAGGACTGCATTTTGAGATTTTTCATTTCAGCGTTTATAATCAGGAACTTTCTTCTGGAAATTCCAGTGACAACTGACTGCCAAGCCCTGACAATGAGCTTTTAAGCTTTGGGCTGAACAGAACTGCATCTTAACAAAGAAATGACTTTAACAATTCTTTCTCATCCAGTAAATACTGAGTTTCAGATACACGTGACAATGTCTTAAGGCATTCTTGGCATCTTAATGAAAAATTTCCCTTCTATATAGTCAAAAAAGGAGACATTTAATACTTTAAAAGGGAGATGACAAACTGTGTTGGATTTACAAAGCACAACATTCTCTCATTTATTGTTTTTCTAGCTAGTGTTCTGTCTTTAGATGTGCATTGGTTTACTCCTGTTGCCTGTATGAGAAGATGCCTCACACTGAAAATCGTCACCACTCCAATGCTTCTGGAAGACATACATGCAGAAGTTGAACTTTCTGATGAATAAAAGATATATAATTATTCTGAAATGTCAGTGTTCCTTTGAGTCAAAACATAACTTCCGTTCTTCCTGCCAAACTTTTATTATCAGAGTACATGCTGCAGATGTTAACTATTAAAACTCTGCTTCTAGGAAAACCGAAAAGCAACATTTTGACAACTTTGGAAAAATGGTGACAAACACTAGGAATGTTCTGCTTACATAAGGCAGAGATACAGGAAAGTAAATTGTTGTGATTTGGTATTTTCTAAGCATTCTGTGACTCACAAAGCTGAAAAACAGTGGAAAAACATGATTTAAAAAGTCACTACCTCAGCAGGTAGTACCTGAAGATCACAGGCAGTGCTTTTTTTTGTTCAGGAATTATGACTTTGGAATAGGACTTATTATCAAATACCATAAAAATAATATTTTCAAAATTTGTAACAAAATAATGACTCAGCTGTCTTTGATATTAAATTCTTGCCAAACCAGCTATAAGTCATCAACCAAAATACCAGTATTTACCTGTAGAAATAATTGAGCTATGTAATAAAAATGTAAGTACCTATGAAAATATAAATACTATTTAATAATGTAATTTAAAAAAAATCTTTATTAAAAATAAATTTAGTGACTAGTTTCTAGGACTTGCTCAGTCTCCACACAATCATATCTGAACTGAGCTGAGCTTCTGCTATTTTCAAAGCAAGTTCCTGGTAAAGGGCACCATTCATTGTTTGATTCATACTTAGCACACTCTCTTCCCGTTCATTCTGAAACTTCTTTCTGAACTGCTGAACTCCTTCCTCACTGTCCAGTAAAGAAGCCACAGGAGCATCACTGATTTTCTTGCCAGGCTCATTCCCCCACGTGAAACTGTTTTCAGCTTTACTTTCTTTTGAGAAGAACAAACTCCTTGAGGTGAGCATTTCTTTTTCCAAAGCCAGTGCTAACTGTTCAGTAAGTACACCTTTGCTTCCAGATGTCAGGAGTTTTACGTCACAGCTTGGTGGGAGAACTCTAGTAAGGCTATGAAGGCACTGGAACAAGACAGTCAGATTTCTGTAAAATAAGATTAGTATTACTAAAGCTACCTTCTATCTTCAAAATTCTAGTGGGAAATAAAACAAAGCTATTTTAAATCAAACAGAGAAAAAGTTATGCTGACTATAGTTTTAAGTATTATGTGCACTATACATATAAGAGTAAGAAAGGGCTTTCTAATGGTGTGCACACTAGCCACTGTATGTCAAAGAACTGACACTAAGCAAACTTCAGCAACACAAATATTCTATGCTAAAACATATATCCATGATTAGGGTTACATGTGAATCACTTTAAGAAGTAGTTCATTATATGTGAAGGCCACACAGAAGAGCACAAAATAAATGTGTTGTCTGGTCTACATTTAGGGGCAGAAAAACGTCACTTATATTCACAGATTGTCACTATCGATAGGTACGTACAGCATGGCTATTAGGTGGCCCACAGCTTGTCATATTTAAATGGCCACTGGAGAGGGAAAGTTGCACTTAAAATCAGACATTCAAAATTTTTAAGAAACCAAGATAAAATAGTGCTGGTAATCATCAGGGAACCTACTCTCCTGGATACCAGTGTAGCACATGCAACACAGTGACACATTCCTGATTCTAAGAGGAACGTAGAGTTTGTTCAAAGACTTATTTCCAGTGTTTGCCAAGATTAACTCCTCAAAGATGTCTTTGGTTGAAAAAAAACCCCAATTATCTTAGGAAAAAAAAAAAACAAACAAGGCATGAAAACCAACCAACCAACCCCAAAAACCCCACAAGCATGCTTAAGCAGCTAGTTTTCTCACAGAGATCAGAAATGCATCTTTCCTTAAAGTACTTCTATTTCAATTTAGTTAACATTCTACTACTTATAACAGATACCATTTATTTTGGTTCTGACAGGCTGTGAAAAAGAATAGTCCATAGCTCCTACCTATCACAGAAATATCCTAGCTGGACAAAAGATCTATCTGAAGATGGGGAGAAAAGATGTAGAAAGTACAGTCATAGTTACACCATAAACGTACAGCTCACTAAGTATTAATGCAAATTGGATCAAAAGTGAACAGTATTCAAGTAGCCTAACTTCAAAAGGAACCAAAAGTCTTGAGGCTTAATGATTGGTTCGTTAAACATTTCAGCCTTTCCTCTTACATAAAAGAAGGAAATCAACTCCTAATTTGAGTAAAAGATTAAACCTCATGATAAATTAGAGACTCTTAAGATATATACCTTTCTTTTATATTTTAGTTTGAGCTCTTTAGCTTGAAAAGGCAACATTTTTCAACACTTGAGAAGTAGTCATATGAGTACTTGAGAAGTATTCATATTGTGAGCCATATCCAACTAAACCATAAAATATGGCAGTATTACTAACTTGTGTAGCCTGGTTTAGAAAATTTCATAGATATTTGTCCAAGAATCTACAGAAGAAAATGAAATCACTGAGACTCTTCAGATTATTTCATTTTCAGAATCATGGTAGATAGGAAATAAATATATCAGAAATATGAACAAAATTAGATTAAATTACAAAATTACATAGCAATAAATTTCAATGTAGTATAACTTGGTGTTTGTTGTTTGTTTGGGGTTGGTCTTTTGTTTTTAACATCTTAAGTAATTTTTTCTAAATCAAACCATGTTGAAAAAAAAATTATGTATTACACTCAGAATAATGTAAGAAAAACAAAGACAAAATTATGATGCAGTGAAATGAGCAAATGAAATATTACCAAGCAGATATTAACGGAGACTAGACTTATTTGTAATTCAGTGTTACAGCATAGACAAAACACAGTTCAGGTTCAGCCATAGTCCTGATTTGAAAAATAATTCTGTTACTGCTGATATTTATCATATCAACATATTGGAAGCTTATTGGTTATGATTTTGGCTGGTGTTTATAGTACCAGTATGAAACAGTGTAAAGATTTAAAAGTGTGTATGCAAGATGAATATACGTTACACTTTTTGAGCAATTTTACCTGCAAAATAACGTTAGAACTCCTTCAAATGGATTTTTCAGTGTCCAGTTGAAAACTGTACCATACACATTTCCTGCTTTATGACAGAATACGTTGTCATGGTATTCCTTAAATGGCGTGCACTCCATTTCTCCCAATAGCCATGAATTTACTGGAGTCAGTGTGCAGTCAGAAGACACAATTTGAAAGGAGAATCTGACAGATACTGCAAGGACAGCATGTATATCTTCCATGGAACCTGCAACAAAATAAAGAAATATTTGACCTAAATATTTTGATCATGTTTCATACGTTAAATGTGCTTAGATATTTCATTCACACTCCCAGTTTACCTGAAGAGTTTGCACCTGCATTCAGGCATTCTTTGGGCATTTTATTCTCACTTAAATTCTTATACCTACTTCTGTCAAGCAAAATAGTTAGCTGATTAACAGAGCCCCACCTATACAAAGGAAACTCTAAAGATAAATGTTGTCTTGCCAAAAGAAGACTATTAATAGCCTCCTATGATAATTAGATGACATGTTGGCTTTAGCCAACGATACAGCAATAAAGGAAGAAAGAAATTAAAATTCACTGCAAATGATCAAAAGGATATTTCATTACATGTGCTGAAGCCCTGTTCAAAATCAATTCATTCAGGCATATTAAAGGAAAGGAAAATAAATGACCTTAACAGACGTGTAGATTAGGAAAAGCTTCAATTACTCTGGTATTATTTAAGAGCTAATACTATGTCAGAAAAGAAATCTATGTATCTAATCCACAGTATCTTATTTATAGAAAAAATGCAGGTTTCAGCATTCTGTACTCAGACTTCAAAATTAACCTTTCCAGATAAACTTCAGCACTCATGCTCACACAAAACCATATAGCAAGTCACTTAACATTTTCTTCCATTTTGAAAAATGTTCCATCTTGCATTTCACCCAGCTTTTAATTCCCAACAGGTCCATGCAGTTTGTATCCAAAGAGGCAGATGTGATTACAACTTGGAACCTTAGCTTGGCATCATCTACACTAAATGGAAGAACCAACCATATATATATATGAATCCAAATTATATAATCCATTTACCTGTACAGTAACTATTATCCCTTAGCATTGTTACTGAATATTTTCCATTTGAAATATCTTCCAGACTTAACAAAATCTTCCCACAGAGTACAGTAATCTTTTTACTCTCCTGTAAATGTTTTTGTTTCTTTGCATGTAGAAGAACTATGCAACATACACGATGAAATGCCAGTAATGGTGAAAGATTGGTAACAGCAGTGACTGTCTTTGTTTCATCCAGCTGAACCCTTGAACATCTCTTAGAAAACTCTTTTTTCAGATCATTCTTGCTGTGCAAGTCCAATTTCATCTTTTTCGGAGGGGGCTCAGTTTGACACGGGGACACAGCCAATGCTGAGAAGGCTTTGTTCAGCTTAATGATTTTATTTTGACACTTGATAATGGGGGAAGTCGAAGAGAAGTTTTGATCCATCACTAGAGATAAACTGACATCACTCAGTGACCTGTGAAAATTCATAAGATGACTGCACTCCCAGTTTGTATTTTGCCTTCTGACAAATAACCAGAGCTTTGCAGATACATACAGACATTTAAGATTACCACAAACTCCAATATCATTCCAGGTTAAGTCACAGATTGTGCAAAGAGTATAAGTCCTTCAAATGACTATTTCACCTAAGCTTAGTATAAAGTTTTTCAAAACGTGGACTGAATTTTCTATGAGCTTCTAGGAGTTACATGCCTCATTGCAACTGAGAGAATCTGGTTGTCTAATTCATTTAAAAATGTTGACATTACACGTAACCCATGCAGATACTCTATGTCATTTATAATAGATTTTTAAAGACTTAACTTTCTTTTAATAAATAAAATTATAGAATCAATTCTGCCCTCTTTGACAATTAAAAGCTCTTCTGATGTTCTATATTATTTTATAATGTTCAAACAAAATTGAATGTATAAAGTAAAAGGTTTAAAATACTAATACCTTAAACATGCGTTAATGTCCTGAAATGTAGGAAGTACATTTATTCAACACAGGGTTCTTTCAATGAAATTACTGTTTCAGATCCTCTCTTAATGAATATTTCATTCTGTCAATCAATTCAGTCTCAAGATGTCACTGACATCTGAAAGTCTTATGAATGTCTAATTTTCTTTACTGAGAAATATCACCACCTCACAATGAAATCTAAAACAACACTGCAATCTTGAATTAGTAGGAAGCACAAAAATAATCAATAAAGACTTACAGTGTTGGGGCTGGAGATAAAGCAAGCCCTGTTCCCCCCAAAACACAGGTTATTGTATATAATATTGAACCAGAGCCCAGAAGACCAAGTTTTGCTGCTAGCCTGCCATGTAACCTTTGACAAATTACTTCATCTTCACAGATCTTTTCTCAACTGTAAAAATGGGAGAGAGCGCAATATCGCTGCTGGTTTTTAAAGAATGATTCCAAATTTTCTGAGGACTTCTGAAGCTATATAGGAATTAAGTGTTTCATTTTCAAAAACAAAGTCATCATCATCAAAGCTAAAAAAAATAAACACTGGAAAGGCAAAAAAAAAAATCGTTTGCCTCAGTGGCTCTTATCAGAGGCTGTCAAAAAGATGAGGTCAACTTTCTTATAAAGTTACAACAATCTGGCAGTTGCGAAATAATATACCCACAGCTCCAGCAGAATGGCCAAAGGGCGTAACAGGTCAGCTCCCTCACAACAACTTTAATGATTTTCAGTGGCATCAGTAGTCTTTAAGCTTACCCTAAAACAGTCTCAGCTACACTGTTTATGGGAATATAGCTCAAAAGGTAGGTTCTGACTCCACCAAAGCTTACATTACACAACACACATCATAAATTTATGTTTCATGTAATCTTGGTTTTTAAACTGTGTTCCAAATTAGTTCCCTCCCTGTGAAGGCAAAATAACATAAGTAGTATTTACAACTAGAACCGAGCAATTAAAAAGAACAGAATAAGCAAATAATTTTAAAGACAAGAATAAACAAATAATTTTGAAGGTTTTGAAAGCTGAGTATTAAATTAATCAGAGAATTTAAAATGTATTATTTTGTGCTTCTTTAAGCAAATAAGTCTTTAGGAACAGCAAGATATTAACAGTAAGGTATCAGGAACTCTATAGCTGAGAGAGCTTTATCTAAACCACATAATGATGCAGCATAGCTATGTCAACACAGATTATAAAGAACCATAATATTTGTCAAAGAAAACTCTATTGTAAAAAGCCTCCAGTAATGACGAGGTTATACTGACACAACTGATTTTTTGCTATACAATGTATTTTTTGCACAGTGCTAGACAGAGACAAGCAGCAGCAACAATTCTGACAAAGACACACACTTGACATAATTTAAATACACATGTTCAAAATAAGAAAGTTCAAAGCTCAAAAATCCACTCTTGCTACTGCAGAGCTTAACCTGCAAATTCAGTTTCTGTGAAACCACTCAATGAAATGATTAGATAAATTTATATACTTACAAGTAAAATGATTCAGTTAGTTTTACTCCAATTACCAAGCTGTCACCCACAACACGCTGCCACAATTTCTCTATGAAGTGCTCTGGGACTTTAGATGCCAGTGATGTCTCTTTACTAAGAGAATGAGGAGGATTTTCTACATCATCCCAGAGAGAGACAAGACCTTCCTTACAGAAAAACGTTTTTTTTAGATAAGTAGAGATATTAGTTCTTTTTATACTGCAATACTTCATGTTTTACCACAAATGATTGCTGTAAGTGCTTTTAAGATACATAAAATGAAATCTGTATAAAACTAGCTTATTCTCCACAATAGATTCAAAAGATAGAATTGCATTTTCTTAAATCACATGATATCATGAAAAGCACAACTCATTCTCTCCTTGTAAACATCAGATGTATAAATCTTGAACTGTCATACAATTAATTGTCCAAAGAAGATTTAAGGTATTAGAATTTATTTTATATCACTGCATTAATCGCTTAAAATTTTGTTGTCTAAACCTGGCTGACTTGAATGGGACCACAACATTAATTGAAAGGGAGATCAACTCCATCTCAAGTAAATTAGGAGGCTTCTTTTGAGCAACATCAATATGTAAACATTTTCCCAACCCCCATCACCTTCTCAGCCCACAGTTGACTCTGCCCCCATTATAAAATCAATGTGTTTACAGCGCATTTTTTGTAACATGTTAGATCACAGACAGATATTCAATATCTAGGCAACTGTGCCAATTAAAACTGTACACTCCCTCTACTGTTTGTCACTCTTTGTTAGAGGTTACTCCTCCAGACAACTCAGTTGGCAGGAGATACTGTGCGAATCAATTTGAAGTATACAACTAAATTTATGCTTATCTCCATACATTGACAGGTTAAGGTCATGAACTAGACTGAAAACGCAGATTAATGAGTTTTGGCAGTGGCAATCCCTACTGAAAGTAACAAGTGGTTGAGGGAAACACCCTCAGCAAATGGCTCAGCAGAATTCAGAAGTGATCTGTACTTTCTTCTGCATTTTACCTCTTTTGCAGTTGGTAGAATATGTGTTCTTTCTTCAACAAGATCTATTAATGCTCTGCAAGATTCAAGAATAACCCTCTTTTTGAGTCTTAAATGCTGCTGTAGCTCTTGAACAGAGGTAAAACCAGCCTGTAAAAGATAAAAATGACTGTTAGACTTATGCTTAGGTCTACTGCAAATAAGAATTGATATTGAGGCTACCAAGATATCTTTTCAGTTTTCCACTGTTATGCAAGTATCACAAGTCAAGATCTTGGTGTTCCTCAAGTAATGCTTCTAAAAAATGTTTGTCAGGCTACTCTGCTTCTAAAATATGAGTTTAAGAATCTTCGTCTCTCAATATTAAACCTAGAGTTTAACATTTACTTTAGAAGCTTATCTTATCAAATTATGTAGAAATTCAGCCCTTTCTTTAATATTCCTGTTTCACTTTTCCATTGATATCAGTTTTGATTTCTTCTCAAGACTTGTATTCGTTATTGGTCAACTAAATATATTGAAGAGTAGACAGTTTTACAAACAGACATACATCATACATGCAGGCTATATCTCAGGTAAAAGAACCAAACCAAACCAAAATATACAACAAAATGCCAGCACCAGCTTCTTAGATTTTAAGAAAGCCCTTCAAGAGATATTTTCTGGAAAACAAGATCCAGAGAAGCTCAGTGCTGACAAGGAAAGAACAAAACGTACAACTGGAATGCAAAACAAAACTTCCCCCCCGCCCCCGGACCAAATCAGGATCAATCATACCCAACCAAAAAGACTGACTAAAAAGCACTTCATGTGAGCAAAGGGATACCCTCTGCTCAAGCTGAAACAGGCAAAGAGCATTTAGAGCAAGGAGCACTCATCATAGCAAGTTCTGTAAAAAATTCATTGGCAACCTAGCAAACCACGTATCTTAAGTGCCAGATTCCAAGCAATAACCCAGTGTCAGACTTGAGTCAGGAGAAGAAAAAGGAAGAGGTCAGAACAAAGATAATTCTATAGTACCTTCTTAATCTAGGTCATGACAATATCAAACCATTCCTTGCTCCCATTGATGAGCAACTCCTGAATAAACAGCTGAGAAGGAAAGCAAATGGAGAAGCACAAACTGAGAAGCAGTCAAAAGAGCCGAAGATTCACTGACGTATACTTGCTGACCAATCTGACTTTTGCAAGCCCTTTTTCCCCATAAAGCAACACAAGAAAGAGACCACATGGCAATCTCAAACCCTAGCACACCCACTCTCTGGAACAAGAGACATGCACATCCTTTCTGCCATAGGCCAAGATGTACTGCCCAACAAGCATCAGCAGAAGTCACAATCTTTGCACCAAGAAAATAAAACTAGTTCACCTTAAAATAGAAAATAAACATCAACATAAAAACAAGGCAGTCCAGAGCCAAAGACAATAGAGCTGTGACTAAATCCAGCACGAACAGCAGAACAGATGAATCACTGTCAAAAGCAAAGCAAATGAAGGCAGAGGCTTAGCATTAAGTGGAACAGCAAAGTGTTTTGACACATTGCAATTAAGGTGGCAGAATTCATAAATAGATAAAAAATTTATGTATGTATCCATACATATAGAGCTAGAACTACTGAGACAAGAACTGTGGTACTGTTACAAAGGAAAAGAAATAGAAAGGAAGATTCACAATTGATAAAAAAATATTGGGAAAAGCAAAGGTAAAATGGAAAAAGTAGACAAAAAGAGTCAGACAGGAACATAATTCAGAGATCTATAGGCTGAAGCTGCTCATATGGTAAATAACTGGTTCTATCTTTTTCAAGTGACTGAATTCCCTTATGAAAAAAATAACAAAAAGAAAATTTGAAAATCAACAGCAACAGACAAAAAAAACCCACCACACTAAAAATAGTAATAAAAATAAAATCTACAGAACATTTCTTAAATAACTTTCTACCTACCACCAAATCAGCATTATCAGAATGAGAACAAAACAATCAGACATTGAAGCAATTCAATAAATCAGCAGTAAGGATTAAAAAAAAAATACTTGCCCCTAAACATGCAAACCAAATCAAAGGAAACTAGTTAATCATAGGTAAAAGAATTTGGCATTATAATTCTTACAAAATTGTTAAATACTTGGAGGAAGAACAGGACAGTGGACATAAAAGGACACTTCTGACTCCTGCTGTTTCTGCTCCAACAGCAAACTAAAACCATGAGAAACCTTGTAACCTCAGCTGTTATAATCTAACTGCAGTACTCTGCCTAAGGAAGTCTTCAGAAGATACTAAAACAAGTTGTTAAAGGAAAAATAAACTTCAGAGGAGAAAAGGCTGGGTTCAGACCCAAAAGCTTGTATACAAGATAAACACAGAACAGTTAAAAACGCAGACTGATACACTTTTCAATTTCACTACCTGCAATATGCAACTTATATGTATTACTGTCTATAACTTAAAGGCAGCCTACTTATTTGCAGTGGACCATAATTCAGTCCTGCCAAAGTTCTCACATGGCTAGAAACAGCTAGACAATTGTGGAATAAGGGGTAAGCAATAATGTGTGAAAAAGCGCTGCATCTGCTATTTCATTTTCCCTAGAAGACAAGATTCCACAGAGACTGTCAAAACAGGATTCGATTGCATATTTCTAGAAGACCTGAATTTTGATGATAAATATCAAGAGGCACCATTTCAAGGCTAAATAACCTTTGGAAATTCCCAGGCTAAGCTGGATCCATGTGCTATTGCATCAAAACAATTGCCCTTGAGATTCAGTTATACATCAGAAGACAAAACCCAGCAACAGTACTTCACTATTCAGGGAAACACACAGAACATTGGAGATCTCAACAGGAAGCAACAGTAAGGCTAAAAAGAAGTATCTGCACCTACTTTCAAATTCATCAGCATGACAATTTCAAAGATTTACAGCACTGAAACACAGGAAGATTTTCAACTTGCTAAATAAATTAGGTCTTATTAAGGATTGTGTGTCTGTAAGAAGAATTTTTTCAGCAGATGATACATGAAATCTCCAGTCAGTGGCTTGTTTCCTGCAGAACCAGTAAAATGTGCAAACCAGACTACTGCCTTGATCCTAACACAGATTCACAGAACTACACTGCTGAAAGCTAGTTGGTGCATTAAAAGAACAAAGTCATAGAGCAGTTACATAGAACATGCAGCTGTCAATGGCAGGGTGGACAATCTTCATTACAACAGTGAATGGAGCAACAAATGGGAGAGATTGAAAATAATTTCTGTTCTGTAGAGGAGGAAAGTAATGTAATGAGTAGGGAAAGAATGCAGCATTAAAGAAATCAGTTTTAAAATATATGACGACCAAAAAGAATCAAGAAACAACAACAAAAAAATGCATTTGGAAGGAAGTTTGCACTTCTGCATGTAAAAGTCAATAGTCCTCTAACATGCAAACTGAAAAACTGTAAAAATGTAAGGTCAGAAGGGACATCAAAAGGTTCTCAAAATTAATCCAACTTCTTTCTTGTGTCTTCCAGGAAGGAAAGAAATCTATTGTCCAATGTTCTTCAAACAAAAGCTTTTATCTTTTGAAAGGTGTATAATAATATCTTTTCAGACATCTCTTTTGTAATTAGAACTAGAAAAATAGGGTATTTTTTTTCAGTGTTTTCTTAATGGGTTGTAGTCCTCTTTTTTTCCAGTACTAGCTTTTCCCAGTTAATTTACTTAATTTTTAAAGGCTGAAGATACAACTGCCACAATATCTTACTTAAATTTTCACTAGTTCTCAAATGATGGGAATAGTTAGCTCATACCTAAAGCACTCAGCCAGCTAACAATAGCCTCACATCTCTGGCTCAATTTGAGATGTACCTATCTCCTAAAGCTATATTTTTTTTAAAAAATATTCTTCCTATTTTGACGATTATTACCCATTTGGTATAAGCTAACACACAATACTGCAAAAGAATACTTGGAGAGTATGCTGGGGGTTTACTAACAGGATGAAAGGTAGAAAGAAAGGCAATGATATATTCCCATTGATCACTTGGACTCTGACAAGTTCCCCCATCTAGTTTTATAAATGATGCTAATTAAGAGAAGGATACATTTTAGCTTCATCTACTCTACAAAATTATCCTTATAAAACTGCTAGCAACAGGAAGAAAAACCATCAGCAGGTGGTGAAATAAACATAGTCATTAATTTGTTGAAAAGTAAAAAAAAGACAGCTTGATTGAAGTCCATGGACAAAGAAAAAGACCATAAGACTCTTGATTTTCAGGATTAACCATCACTCATCTGTACTCACCGGGATCTTGGCACTACCATATCAAAGAATGTAGTGCGAAGCAAAAGTAAATGTTCTCATTTTATTAACTGGCATTTAAATATGAGTAAAATGACCATTATGAAGCTTTGCTAGGACAGCTTGAGCCTTATCTCAAAATTTTAATTAAAATTAAATTAGACTCTTCCGATAACTCAAATGCACTTGTAACAATGGTGAGAACTGAAACACAGGCTACCACTGATTCAAAAAGGGATACTTAATGTTGTCTTCTCCCAGAACCATTTGTCCAATAAAACCAGTATCATTAATCTCACCCTTTAGATAACTAATGATAAGGAAAAGTAATTTGAAGAAAATATGGAGGCAGAACTATTGAGTACAAACCTGTAATCTTGTTTCAAGTGCTCGGACAGTAAGCAAACCATTCTCTTGCAATCCTTCTGCAGCAGGAACAACATGTTTATAATTAATATTGCTCTGAAAAAGAACAGAATAAAAACCTGAAAGTAATGTACAGGCTATTACACAGCATTATAAAAATCTGGGGGAAAATACAGAAAACCAGAAGAATCACAATATGCATCTTAAAAGAAAACTTTTATTTTCTGAAAGCAATTAGAGGTTGACAGTATGTAATGGAAAGACCCAATTATGAGAAGATAATTAACAAGCACTATGTCCTTAATTAAGAGTTCTTAGCCAAAAGGTAAGCATTGTAGCAAACCTGTTATATATGGGAAGCATTTTCAACTGCATTTCTTTAATTTTCCAAAAGAATGTTGATGCTATCAAGGAAGTAGAATAATCTCTGCAGATAATTTATGATTACAGGGGGGAGGATTGTATTCAAACTTCAGGGCATTTCACAGCAGACATCCAATTTCACTTTGCACTCATATGCATTTAATGATTTCTTGAGATTTAGTAAGCACAGACTGAGTAGCTGAAAAAAGGCAAGCTGAACTTACTGCATAGTTGACCGCTCCAAGATCTGTTATTTTGAATGTACTTAACACGTCTGAATTGGAGTCATCCTTAAAAAGCAGTAACAGTTGCTCACTTCCAGAGCCAATAAAATCATCCACCAGAAGAGACTTCACTTCTTGCCATTTGGAAGCCACCTACATTAGACAAGGTTTAAAAATACACGTATTTGAATTAATCTTGTATTTGAGACTTCATTTTGGTGAAGCTTGCTTTTTCTAGACAGACAGCCTATTCAGGTGTGTGGAATACAGTATTTTTAAGAAGTTTCAAGCTCTCACTCTTACTCTATCATTTAGAGCCTATGTAACTCTGGGAAAAATTAGCCATTTCTCTTTTAAACATCACTTTCCAGAATGCAGGTTGCAGAGATCATAACTCTTCAGTGTACTCAAACAGCTGAATAGCTGAATGCTGTAACATTTATTTATAAACAGTAATACCTGCAGATCAGTTAAAGATATTATACATTTGACATTCAGAAATATCTCTGCTGCATTGCACACAAATATTTTTGAAAGGTAACGACAAATTTGTACATAATGCCGACAACTAAATAGGACAAACATGCATTTCCTGAGTTATGTAAGCTTTCTTGACAGAGTATGACAAAACCCTAGCAGTTAACTCTGTCTCTTTGGACTTAAGGAAACAAAAGCGAGGCCACTTCTCATTTTCATGAAACAATATTTCTTGTTACTAGGCTAATGGGACTCAAAAGGCTTTTAAATTCCAATGAGAATTTTATGCTTTGCTATTGTATCAGTTTACTTTCACTTTAACACAAATTACATGGGGACGCTCATAACTGTCTTACAACTCAAGTTCTCATACTATGGAAGTTTTAAATTAGCAACACAAGCTTTGGTTCAGATTCATAAAGTATATTATTAAATAATAGAATCCAGGGCTTATTTTCAGATATATATATAAGCAAGCAATAAAAGCAAAACAATCTCATACTTCAGACAGGTTATTTTAACAAAAGCAACAATAACCTAAACAAAAAATTCTACAGAACATGTAGCTTTTCAGTCACAGAAACTCCCAGTAAGACAATATATACAAAAACAAACACACAGCAGTAGAAGGGACCTGTTTAAATCCACAAATACCTGTAAGCTGTCTCTCCTCTGTACAACACAAATATTTCCGGAAGCAAAAGACACAATAAATAATAATTCCTTGCCACTGGTTACAGCTGGTTTTACTGAATATGGTTTCTCATAAGGAAGCTCACAAACACCTTTAGGGAGCCCATCTTGGAACCAAATAAGCTGATTCTTGTGAGTTACGGCAACAAGTGATATGCGGAGCTGTTTTTTCAATATCTCATTCTTGCAGACATAAACAGAAGATACCACTCTGCTATAAGCATGAGGCATAAAGCATGTGCCAGTTAGCATTTTTTGTGACTCAATTGCATATCCGAAGAACTCACTACCCCAGATGGTTCTGTCTAGAGTGGAAAACTCATCCTCATCTTCACCCTCTGGCAGGCAAGCAGTTCTTATCCCTAAGACAACAGTGCCTTCATCCTCAATTTCACCTGTCCACACAACAGAAGAAAGATGAACAGGAGCACTTAGAACTGTGCAGGTGTTGGAAGAGATGTAGAACAGCTTGTTGGCATGCCTCCACAAAACTGAAGGGCCAGCAAACAACCTGATGTCTTCTTTCACCTCATAATCCAATTTAAAATGAAAGGATTGCTCAAACTGATTTGAGCTGTGAAGCAACAATATAAGGTATGTGAAAACATTGTTCCGTTTTTTCTTTTTCAGCAAAATGCAGGGAAGAATAATCCCTGTCCTGGAATCTGTTGTGCAGCTACAACAAATAATTTCCATTTTTAAGTGACTGGCACGCATGCTGAATACTCCAGAAGACTTCTGAACAAAGAGTTTAGTGTCTCTGTTGAACGTCATTCTTCTGACACATAAATTCATTGTTTTATCAGCTGCTCCCTCTGCATGTTTTGTTTTTGACAGATGAAATATAAGGATTTCTCCATTGTAGGACAAGAATTGTTCTTGCTCACCTAGAAGCATCTTTATCATTAGGTATATTCCTTTACAAGAAAAATGTATGTGTCTCCATTTTTTTCAGGATTATATCTCTGTGGAAATTTTAACCTATCCGGACTTTTTCCATCTACAAAGGCGAACAACAAAAGAAGTTAAATCGTTCTGGGACTAGCTGAACTAATCCTTAAGAATAAGAAAAATTATACATTGTAAAGCAATGACATAGACTAATTTGAGACTATGAGGCCAGCATGTGCTTTAATCTCACAGATTAAAATGCAATTAAGCAACTTTGTACTGAGAGATTTACGTCAGAAATGCATCACCAACATGCTCATCAACAGCTACACGGCATAATAAAGATTAAAAGCAAACAAACCAAGCCATACTATGCACTCTGTGTGTGACAATTCAAGGCATCAATTTCACAAGTATACTGGAGTGGAGCGGAAAGCAGCGGTGCTTCGAATTCTCAAATTTAAAAGCCTTCACTCAGGTGGAGGCTTTATGAATAAATATAATTCATTCTTGGTTAAAATTGTAAAGCCTCTTTAAGGGAAAAGCTCTCTGAAGAAGAGTCCGGTCATTTTGCCGCCAAATAGGCTCCCTCCCTCCTCCTGACAAGACCACGGAGACCCAGGGCGAACCACAGCCATCTCACCGGGTTTCACTCAACTTTCGGGGTAGGAAGCGGCGCCCCTCGCCTGACTGGAAGGCCCGGGCAGGACAGCCTCCCCCGGCACGCTCAGGGGGCCCGCGCAGCTGAGGCGCCGCAGCAGCCGCCGCCCCTGCGCCCCACACAGCCTCGGCCAGGCCTCACCCGCCCCCCTCCCCGCGCCGAGCGGCGCCCAGGGCGG